CGGTGAGGAAAAAAAAAAAAAGCGAATCAAATCTAAAAGGTGTGTGAACAATCAAAGAAACACAGAATCGGATCTTAAAAAGAGTCAAGAGTCAGAAATGGCTACAGATGTGGCTTTAATTGTTGTGTCATCACTTTTGCCTTTTTATCCAATTTTCTTTGCCAATAGAAACATGAAAGCAACTTCTTCAAGTTTCTATTTTGTGACGATTATAATCACGGAAATTCATTAAAAACATATTACCAATAATGAATATATAATAAATACACAAGCTATCTTCGCATCACTCTATTCCCCTGTTTTGAATTTCTAAACCGTTTCAATGAAATCGCTGTTGACAAAAAAAAATACACAAATTTTACCTTTTTTTTTTACAACAAAGTTCATTAAACCATTTTTCAAAGATGTAGAATCGAATTCCTATGGAAAAAATCGCATAAGTGAACTTTAAACCATTTGACAAAACAAAAAAATTCATTTTTCTTTATCCAACTTTGTTTACCGCAAATGTAGAAAGTGCTAATTGTGAGTCAATTTTAAAAGGAGAAATTGCAAAAATATCTTTTTTTTATATGTACATTTGCAAAAATGTCATTTAAAAGTGTTCATTTGCAAAAAATACCACTAATTATAGATTTTTAAACCATATATCTTAAAATTTTAAACACTAAAAAATACTTTGACCGCTAAACTCCCCTAAACCCTAATAGAACATAATTAATCCAAACATAAATAATATAAAAAATAATAATTTTGAAAAAGTGGCACTTTTGTAGATATTTCAAAAATGTGATATTTTTGTAAAGTTGCACTAAAATAACATTTTTGAAATTTTTCATTTTAAAAAAATTCCACTTATTGTTGGAAAATAAACGTGAATTACACCAAATTTGACTTGTAATACATATAAATACAAGTTATTACAAAAAACAATGTATTTGTAATATACACATTCAAACTATTTAAAAATCCTAAATAAGCATCATTAACACAAATTAAAATAATATTTGTCAACTTTATTTATTTGGTAAAAAAAGGCAAATACATAACATGTGTCATCCCAAAACTGGTCATCAAGAAATTCACCAACTTAATCAATGTGAATCTTCTTAACAAGGTAAGTTATCTTACAAACAAACAAAAATTATTTAGCAAACAAAAAAACAATAATTAAGTTCTAAGAAACGGTTTCAACATTATATTACTCACCTTAATTCAACATGGAAAATTGG